AAGAATCCTAGAGAAGAAGCACCAGGAGGAGAGAGACTGGTGGTGCCAACTGTTGCTGTGGACTTTGGAGGCATCTGGACTGTGGCCATCGCTGCTGGCATAGGTGCTGGGACATTGTGGGGGGAGTTGCCCTGGGGGATGAGCCATTGCCATAACATACTGGCCGTCGTTGTTATTGTTACCATCTGGAGCTGGGGTTCCCCCCCCCATTTCATCGGATTCTGAATGATTGCTCAGGGGCCTGTTACTCCTGCTGCTAAAGCAGCCCTGAGCTGTTATATACATCTTCAGAGCATCAACCACTGAGACTGGTTAAGTTTGTGCCTGAAAGTCCTGCTTCAACAAGAAGAGCCTGCCACCCATTAATGCTGTGTGAGCTCCGGTTGTAAGACATCTCATCGATCTCTAAAGAACATTGCTGCAAGGCTGGACAAGGGGGGACGTGGCTGGGAGGGCCTGGGCATTGGCGGCCTCTGAGGAGGTAGCGCTACATTTGCAAAGAGGCCAAGTTGAAAGTATGAATGTTAGCAAAAGAAGTGATAGGAAATCTGACTTCCGGTTTTGCGTGCTAGCGACCAGTCGCAGGCTTGTGGATTCTCCGCACCCCTGCAGCTAATTTCATCCTGCCAGGGGACACTAAATGGGTCTAAATCACCCCGGAACAGCGGCAAAGAAAGAAGGGTGCCCCAGTGATTCTGGAACGGTGGCAGTCGTTCCATTCGACTTGGGGAAAGTCTTCTAACCTGACAGGAGAAAGGCTGGCCGTACTTCATTGACCAGCCCAAGCTACTAGCAACCGAAGTCCAAAAGTACTAACCAGCACAACTGTGAACAGCGTGCTTGAAACTGGGTGAGGAATTCAATGTTCTCTTTTTTATTCTATATTTAATTTCCTGGAAAAGATCCCCAAGAAGCAAAATACCTCTGAAAGGGAAAGAGGGGGATTTCCGCCTCATTCTTATACTAATGGAAACGGCGAATTAATCTTTTTATGGAGGATCAAAATATATGGAAGTGAAATAAATATAAAACCTGAAATTTAAAACTTAAATCTGGATAAATCTAAAATTGTTTGAATGGTTAAGACTCTCATTTTAAAGATAATTGTTCATTTTGGAAATTGAAAAACAAATAGTTGCTGGAATCTAGTGGTGGATGAAGACTATGATAGCTATAACTTTAATATCAGACTTGGCAAAACCTGGGAAAAGCTAATCTGTGTTTGTGACCTTCAAAGCTTTAACAACAAAGAACAGCTGTGACAAAAAAGACAATAATCTGGGCTGTAGACAAAGAGAATTATAAATTTCAGGGAAATTTTTTTTTGAACTATTTGGATTACAAATATCTATTTAGTTGGGACTCTAAAGCTATTTGCAGAGAAAAGAAAGGAAGAGAAAAACTCAAATTTTTGGCCATCATGGATCAGAGACATGTAGAAAGAACATATCAAGAAAACATAAATACTCCACAGAAGGAGATATATGGTATACTGCAACTAATTGAAACAACAGTGACTTTAAACCACAAAGAAATCCAAAATAACTTTGAAAATATAAATCAATCTATTTCCAAGTTAACTCTACAACAAAAAATTTCCCAGAAAACAACAGAGAAGGAGCAGATAAAACAAATAAATGGATATAAAATTGAGAATAGACTTAAAGATGGAACTTAACAAAACAAGGCAATATGATTTAATCCTAGTGGGGAAAAAAATCACAAGAATTGGAAAAAAACCAACTTATCCCTTAAGACTACAAAATAAATCTGAGGACAAGAAAAGATTGGATAAAATGACTTAGAGATGTCAGGAACATCGGAGAGAAAGGAAATGATAAGAGAAGCAGAGAGAAAGAAAAATAAAAAGATTTTCAACAAACATGGAAAGGCAGAAGTCCCGTACAAAGACACTTCACTTGATTTACTTTTTATATCTACATAACATTTACGAAAATATGGAAAAACCTTTTGATTCAGCAAAATACATTGATTAAGAAAGATACTGGGCAAAGGAAAAAGACTAAAATGGAAACCAAGAAAATAGACAATGGGACTTAACCAGAGAGAATACTTAAAAAAGAAACATTTGTTTGAATATGGTTAAAGAAATAAAAAGGATTTGGAATATATATGTCATTCTAAGAGGGATGAATTCCCTAAATAATATAGTATGCTTTTTTCCCTTTTTTATTCTCTTTCTTAATATGAGTAATATAAAAAAGTTGAAATGACTTAGATAAAGGAAATATTTTAGATATTTAAATCTGATTGAATTTAAGAAAATTATAATGGATAAAAATGTTTTGAATAAGAGTTAAAGGACTAGATGACTAGATGTATTAAATGGAATATTTAAAGATTAAACATATTTTAATTATGGTTAAAAATAAGAAATTTTGGAAACAAATATATATTAGCTTAGGAGGGATATATATTTTAAGTAGTATGTTATTTTTTATGTTTCTTTACTTTTACTTTCCTTTCTTTTTTTTCACTGTTTTGTCAAATGTGAGATGGTTCATATGGAAAAAATAGTTAAATTTTTAAATGTAATAAATTTTTGAGAAAATCTTAACCAGTAAGAATACCTAGAATTTGGTGGGAGAAACAAATTAAAATAAGGACTGTAACAGGATTTATGATAAGGCAACCAATATGATTGGATAGAAAACAAATATTATATTGATGTGATTATTATTTTTAGGAATATTGGGAACAAATTTATATATTTAATTGTTATAAATCAAAATAATAAGAATTGTATTAACTCAATGTTTGCAAAAGACGATATTTTGGGAAAAGAGGAAATCAACTAAAACCATTATGTGGATTATGGATTATAGAAATCAATTGTTAGTGATTGTTTTACAAATGTAAACCTGAACAACACACTGTTCACCAATTATTAAGTGATTTATGTTTTTTTTAAAAATCAGTAAAATATATTACAAAAAAAAGAAATGATAGGAAATCTGACAGGATTTTTCAGTTAGTACATGCTGATTTAATTGGCCCTTTATCTCCATCAATGGGAGGGGCCAAATTTGCTTTGGTAATTGATGCTTTCTCAAAAATATGGGTTTTGTTATTTACTAGAATGCAAAACAGAAGTGTTTCAACAATTTAAGCAGTGGGTAGTATTTGTAGAGAGGAGGTATAATCAAAGGGTATGTCAACTACAAACAGACAGAGGAACAGAGTTCATGTCTAATATGTTTCAGCAGTGGCTGAGAAAAAAAGGCATAATTCGTAGAAGAATGAACCCCTACACTTCGGCAGAGAATAGAGTTGCTGAATGCAGGAATGGTGTGTTATGCTATTAATGAAACTATTAATGAAACTCCATATTACATGTTATATAAGACAAGCATCCTTGGCACATTTAAAAATCTTTAGCAGCAATGCATGGGTGCACATTCCCAAGACAATTTGAAGGAAAGGACAGCCAAAGGCAAGGAAAATGAAATGTATAAGTTATCAATCAGGAACAAAGGCATATAGATTTACAGATGGACCTAAAAATGTTATTATCTCATGGTCTGCAATTTTTTCAGAACATGAGAATTGGGAAAAGGTACATGCCAGT